CTATCTATCTATCTATCTACATTCATGACACAGGGCAAAGAATTAACTAAATATGTAAACAGACAAGGTTACAGGACTTGTTTTGCTGTAAAATAAATAACAGAGACAGTCTAGGCCGGTTTAGGAAACCCTCGCAATGAGGAAGATGACATCAAAATAAAACTATTTAACACTGGGATGTTATTTTTAATAGGTGTCAGCACTGGAGGACACTGACCACCACCCAGTTATTGTTCACAGTCTAAAGCCCTGCACATAATTCTTTTAAAAAGCCTAAAAATGTGACCATATTTAGGAAAAGACACAGGTTTAAGATGTAGCCACTGTTCTGCTTCATGAGCTTTATGGTTCTCACCTGATGCAACATCAGATCGGGGGCAGACCACATCCAGTCCGGACACTTTGGCCAGCAGACTGCCCCGCTGCAGGGTAACTTCACTGGGCTGGCTGCTGACACTTTTCTTATTTTTCTTAAAGCTTCCGCTGATCAGTTTGTATATCCCGTAGGAAGCTCCAGCTCCTGCAACTATTCCCAGCAACGCTTTCATGTTGCTGAGCCTGGGAGTAACACTGCCATCACCCATGCTGCTGCTTTACCTTCAGCTAAGCTTTAAGCTACCTCAGCTACACTGCAACCTTGTGAGGGTCTAAATCTGTTTTAACTAATCCGGCTCCTCACTTGGCTCCCACTGAACACAACCCACCGAAACCCACCACAAAGCAGCGCACACACACTCATTTAGACGGACGCATTGTTGTGGAAACACAAGCTACAGTTGTCAACAATGTTCTGCTCCGTTGTTCCGGGGTCGTTGTTGCCAGGTTGGACTGACAGAAAGTGGCCCAGTCATCGTGAAAATAAACATTTTGTGTCGTTTATTCAGGAGAGGTGGATTTATATATGCATGTTTATATAATACGAGCGAGAAAATGTTATAAGTTAATGTATTTTTTTTTAATAGTAATGAAAAATGTGTAGTTAGTCATACGTAAAATAAGTGTGTATTAACGGGGGCAGGCGTTTATAAGTATTTTATCATAGAGATATGACAGGATAATGTTAGTAGGAATAAAAAAAACAGCTTATTTGTGATTGATAATTAAATTATATTAGTTTTTAGGTTGACTTTGATCAGTTATTATACAACGGAAAACCGTCCGATCTGGCAACATTGCGGGCAGCTCACAGTGGCCGACCAAAATCTATCGCTGGGTGATTTACAAAGAGTTTCTACCAATATACCAAACCCTAGCTTTAAAAAAAACAAAATGTGTATGTAAATATGTAATTTGATTTGATATTTAAAAAAAAAATAAAAAAAAACATCAGTGTCCCAGCGTTGACTTTGCACTCTTCGTTAAATATAAAGCGCAGTGTGTTACTTCGTTACCTAGCAACCGTTTCCAAGTGGAGATGGAGTACCAGGCAAAAATCTGACCAACGCTGAGCTGAACCAGCGTCAAGTTAGTTAGTTAGTTAGTTAGTTAGTTAGTGAGGCTCTTAATACCTCGATGACTATTTGACTCTTTGCAAATGTGTCAGAGACCAGATATGGCCGAGTGTGAGCTGAAACACTGCCTGCCACAAATATACAAGGTAGGTTATCTTGTGTGGAAATGTTGATGAGCTCAGGGCATTTATTTCAGTAGGTAATAATAAACATTAAATTCACTTTACCTTGAATATTTATTTGTCCTGAATTTGTAAAAAAATCATACCTCTCCTGATTCCACCTCCTTCCACAACAGGCCTTATTGACAGCTTCATGCCTGACATGTCCCAATGACCCAATACAGTTTCTGAAAAACACCCTCCTGGCCTTCCAGGGACATGATAATCTGCAGGATGTTGACTGGTAGGTAACACCTCCTTTCTTGTGACTTTCCTTGAGAGGGACACTTGGTGGCTCACTTTCTCCAGTTTTCTTTTACTGCTCCGTAGTGGAGATTCATGGTAGACTCCCAAAGCGCAGAGGAGGGAAGATTTCTCTCTCTCTCCGTCTCTCTTTCACTCCAAAAATGTGAGTCAGGAGAGTTTTCCAGTTGCATCATGTTCTCCTCGGGTTACATTGACCACCCCTGTTCATTTGCCCACATTAAGGGACGCTCAATCTACTCATAATCTGTTAAAGTACAGACTTTTACAGTACTTGTATCGTCTAGACCTTTACCATTAAACTTAAAGTGACTTTAAAATGCAGCACCCATGTCCTCATACTACTACTGTACTTAATACCGCTTACAATTACAGGCATAATTAACTTCTAGACCCCATATTTGATGGTCTTTATCATTTTAGTGGATGGTAATGACATTTAAGCTTGAAAATATCACTAAACCTAGTAGTTTAGTAGCATTTTAATTCTGTTTAATCATTCAGTAGGTAAAAATTCGCTCTGGATATGATCTGTTTTTATGTTTTGTTTTTTTTAAAAAGGCACAAGTTTGTTGCTGATGCAGAACAACGCACCGCAACTACCTCTGTCACACGTAGGACAGTGGACGCTGCCTCTGTGGACCAAGAGGACGCCGTGGTACAGTATGGTTTAGTAGTGTAGATACCATAAGTCAGGTTGAGACACATTGTTTTAGACTTAAATTAAACACATGTTACGGTTTTTATAATAATTGCTTGTTCTGTTCCTTTCTAGTTGTCCTTTTGTCTGTTCGAGAAGGCTTACTCCAATTACAGGAAACATTTAACATGCTCTTGCTTCAGGTAGGTCTGCCGTATTGTAGTTATGGTCAACACATGAGGGTTTGATTAGATTGATTGATTGATTGATCAGTTTCCTGAGGGAAAAGGAAGGAAATACCAGTATGTAGTTATAATTGTTCTTGGCCTGACAAAAGTGCCTTAAGCCTAAAAACACTAAATGACATTGTAGTTAAAGAAAGATTGAAGTTAAAGATTATTATTTTCAACCCATCACGCTAAAGTTCAAATACGACATTTGAGACTGAAAATAAAAAGATCAACCTGAAATTGTTGATTCATTTCACGTGACAGTCAAGACAAGAGATGGAAAATATTTCATGCCTTTACTAATTAGAGCAGATGTTTGTAGAACTGCAGAATCTTGATTTTCCTCCCGGCTGAAGACGACAAAAGATCCTAAAAAACAACAAGAAATGAAAAGATTTCCAACTTTAGATGTGTGAGAGTTAAGTAGTCACAATACAAAATACCAGGATTTAAAAAAAGGACTTGCTGTCAGCGATTTTACCCACGATAAATATAGCAAAACCCAAATTTAACTGGAGTATTAATAGACCAGGCAGTTACATTTTTTAGATGCTTTCTTTCTGAAGTCTCAAACTCGAGCTATGCTCAAGAGCAGATCAGCTGCAGTGGGACTATTAGATGTTATGGTCTCTCTAGATTTGACATTTGCCTCCAGTGCAACCCTACATCTTAAAAAGTTCCCTTAAATACATCTTAGTTCATTTTACTTTATAAAGGTTTCTCACAGAATGTCTGCAAATCTATATTTACTTTATTCAGGATCCCAATGACTGAGCTGAATTAAGAGCTGCTGGAGAAACTTTGAGATGTGAGAACATTGATAACTAAAATATTTTCCCATACCATATCTCTCTTAAAAGTGTGGTTCTCTCTGTTCTCTCATTCAGTATTTGTGTAGCATTGGAGCAGGTTTCCATTGGCGTGTACCAGTTTTGCCTCCATCCAGCCGATACGGTGCATAACGGGTGTTTGATCGAGACATTTTGCTCCTCACGTAGGCGTTTCTGGACTGCACAATGTATGCGTTTACAGATGGTTGTGACACGTCGGGGCCAGTTTGAGAACGAAGCCTTTTTGTGTTGCCACCATTCCTCCGAAAGACACCGCTTAAAGCAGAACCAGACGGCCGTTTAAGAGGCTTCCGTACTTTGGTTGGTTGTACGAACGTGTGCAGAAAGCTGGTTGCATCATTTAGAGAAGTGCCTTGTTTTTGTGGGGTAGAAAATGAGCCCAGAGTGTTTCCGGCGTCACGTGTATCACCGGTTTGAAACCTATTAGAGATTTTATTCTTGATTCCAAAGTCCCTGGACGTGACTTCATTGCCAGCTAATATTGAAAGCGCTGTCTCGGATAATGAGGTTGGAGCCAAGTTGGTTAGAGAGTTGAAACTTACATAACCAACTCCCACCTGAGACGAGATCCCAGAAACTGGATTCAGCTCAGTGAATCCTGATCCCTCCTCGTCTTTTGCCTGGTCAGATAAGCTGGACGGACGAGTAACGCCGATTCTCTGGTCTCCCAGATAGCCATCGCGTCTGCTTGAGCCAATAAACACTCGGGGGTGCAGGACCGGCTGCTTTCTGTTGAACATTTGATCCTCCGCATCATGTGGGCTGCTTGTTTGAACACCCACATGACCATTACTCCTCTGTGGTGAAAAGTTGTCAGAGCCTGAAGAAACAGAACCACTAGATGCAGGCAGCTGAACAGTGGGGGTGTTGTTTATATACTTTGATTCCTTGCCAATAGTGGGTTGATATGCTTGAAATGATGGGGCTGGTCTTTCCAGAGGTTTTGGTAGATAATCTAAGATGTTGAGGTGACCTCTGGGTGCATTGACATATACACTTTTGCTGTAGGAATTCAACAATGGGGGCTTTGGTGCAGACACGACATTGGCTGGAGTCACTCTGCCTAGCTGCTCACTTTGGAAATCTTCAAATTCAAAGCCACCAGATGGTTTTTGATACCCTGTCAAAGAGTCTTCACTGTGAGATGTAGATATTGGTTGTTTCCCATTAGAGGCTGAAGGCATTATATTGGATGTTTTACTTGGATAGTAGCTGAGCTCTTGAGATGGGTTGTTTGGAGGGTTGGCAGGAGATGCAGTCACACGGCCGCTGAAGAATGAGCCTGAGGGTATTTGTTCAGGGAGCTCATAGCTTGTTGACGGAACGGCTTCATCTTGCGCATATTCAGAGCTTGTGAAAATATCGGGGTTTTTCCCACTAGTGTCAAAATTTCCATAATTACTTGAAACATACTCAGAGGCTGCTGAATGAGGGAGTGGGTAGGGAGCAGAGCCCGAGCCTTGGTTGTCATAAACACTGGTAGAAAGGAGAGTTGCAGTGGAGTCGACGGGATCAGGGACAGAGAGGCTTTCACTTGGCATTTGGTAGGTAGATGTATCCGCAGGTTCACTCCAGACATCGTTTTCACTGACGCCATCGTGGGCATCAGGCTCGCTCTTAATATTTTGAGCATTAGAAATCACCTCGTTTTCCATAATGTCCTGTTCAGTTTGAAAATGTCCACTCAAGTCACTTCCTGGCATTAAGAAGGAGCTTTTAATAGTTTCTATAAAGTGTTTGAAATCTTTAATTGTTGGGAAACTGACACCCTCTGTAGAAGTCTTTTGTTTGTGCTCCTTCACTAAAAGGCCAAAGGGGTGTTGATTACCAGCACTTTCTTGCACATATTTCTGCATCGAGGGGTCCACTGAAAACTCATCTGGCTCATGTTCTGAGTCTGGGTTGCTCTCTTCACTGAGGCTTGTAACAGAGCTCGCATCCTCATTGTTTTCATAGTGGACTGGTTCTCTCTGAAGGGAATCAAAGTTTTGCATGTCGTCCATTGGACTAACAGGGTCGTGGTCCGTGTTTAAAGATGCTCCAGAATGAAACTGGTTTGAGGTTTGTGGACCAAGCTCTTCTGCATGATTACTGACAGAGTAGCCATGTGCAATATTGCAACCTATCAGGGAATAAACAGACATTAGATTAAATTCATATGGTTGAACATCGAACAATAATCAGGGATGGGAATCGAGAACCGGTTTCAAATGGCCAGATCTATCAGAATCATGTGCCTCCAAGGTTATCGGTTCCTTTTATTAATGCCAGCATGTTTTTCTGACAGTTTAAACTTGCAACAAGAAGTAGTCATGGCGGAGGAGAAGAAACCGTCCAAAGCGTAGCTTCATTTCACAAAGAAAGATGACAACAGTGCTTAATGTAATGTCTTTGAAATTATAGTTTTAGAAGACTTATTTTTTTACAATAAGGGTGGAAACACCAGCAGTATACTGAAACATCTTTATATTATAATATTTATTTTATTCTATACTGTAATTGTCACCTTATTTTCTTGTTGTCACTTTTTTATTTTGCGATCTTATTTTTGCTGTTGTTGTTCGACATGTGCGCTGCTGTAACTCCTTAAATTCCTCTCAGGTATATATAAAGTTTTTAACTATCTATGTGCAAAATGGGCTTAAATCCTAGAAGGTGCCACTGCTTCCTAACTGAGAAACACATCAATTTTTCCCCACACAGAAAATGTATTAGGACCAATAACACTGGTATCTAAAACTGGTATATAAAATTGTATCAATTCCCATCCCTAGCAATAATACAGAAATTCTTACCTTTTTGAGGAAGAAAACAAATGCAGCCCCATAACATCAGAGTGCAAAGCCAAGAAACTCTGAAAAACAATAAAGTTAGAAAGAAAAAAGGCCAAGTTTAGCCAACAATGCATTTGTGTTTTATTTACCCAAATGGAAGAGCCATGGCAGTGAGTTCAACCACCTGCAGCAGCAGACCGTTGATTAAAACGAATAACCCAGATAACAATAAATCATCCTCTGTCCTGTCTTTGTCCTGAAAGTCTGAGAGCAAGAAATGTGGAAGCAAGGATACTGAAACCTTTCAGATTCTGCTTACACTGATTGCAATGAGGTGAATGTAGACAGCTGGTGCTGTGTGGAAAATCAACCTAATTAGACAAGCACAGGTGGAGCGTCTGCTTAAAGGGCAGCATGGTGATGACTTTCATATAAAAGCAATTGAGAAATATATCCATTCTATCAGGATACTAGCTTTTAAACATCTTCCTCTTCATGTCTTCTTGTATATTCTTTTTTTTTTGTAATTTATTTTTTATTGACATTCGGAGTCAGGCATTCATATTCATCACATACATCTTATCACCATATATCTTACATCTGTTGTCTGCCCCAAGTGCCAAAGTAGCTTTTTTTTTTATCTGAAAGAATGAAAAGGGAAATCAACGAAATGAAAAAAGAGAAAACAAGCAAACAAACAAGCAAAAACTATGTACAGGTAGGGAGTGATCCTTTCCATACA